AAAACGGCCGCTCCTCCTTCTCCTCCTCCTCCTCCTCCTCCTCCTCCTCCTGCTCCTCCTCCTCCTCCTCCCCCTCCTCCTCCTCCTCCTCCTCCTCCTCCTCCTCCCCCTCCTGCTCCTCCTCCTCCTCCTCCTCCTCCTCCTCCCGAGGGGACTCTGCAGGAAGGCAGCGCGTCCTGGAGGGAGGGGTCCCTGACTTTGTCGGCTGCGATCGGGCCCCTGGGCCCTCCACGTGCCCCAGGGCCGCCAAGAGACGGCCTGGGAGGAAGAGCTGGTCTCGGGGAGAGCCCGTCGGTCTGGGATCTGCTTCTCTCGGGGCCCCTTGCCGTCATGGCGAGGAAGGGCGAGGGCAGAACAACATAAGCACTACCTTCCGGAGGTCCGTGCGGATCTCTCAGGCTGGGGCTGTCTCCCCCTCAGACACACACGAACACACACGAACGCACACACACACACAGACACACACACACACACACGCGCACACGCACATGCACACGCACACGCTCACGCACACGCTCACGCGCACACGCACGCGCAAACGCACGCGCACACGCACGCACACGTTCACACACAGACGCACACAGACACACATACACACACACACACACACTCTTTCCGCGCGTTGCGGGTGGGCGATTCGCGCACGCACATACACACATACACACACCACCGCACCACACCACACCACACCACACCGCACCACACCACACCACACCACACCACACACACACATTCCCCCAGCGCGCTTACCGCGCTGGGGGCGGCGCTTGAGACGCCGCCAGGGGTGTGGGGAGGGGGGCCCATGATGAGAAGTCTGATCGATGTTTGGTTTGTGCTTTCCAGAGATGGACGACAACCCACGCCTCGGGCCATGATTTGCGAAGCCCGTTCGTCGCCCTCCTCCTCCTCCTCCTCCTCCTTCTCGTCAGCGCAGTCGCCGGTGAAGAGCGCCTGCGTGGCCCCCTGCCACTGCGAGAGGAACATCGCCATGATGGGATCCTGCTCCGCCTCGCCCCCGCGAGGAAGGAGGAGGGAGAACAAGTGAGGCAGGAGGGAGGGTGATGGAGAAGGGGTTGATGTGGGAGGAGAGCGGGGCGAGGAGGGAGGAGGGGAGGGAAGACCACGCGAAGGTACATGAGAATGCAGACGGAAGGAGGGGAGGAGGAGGAGGAGGAGGAGGTGGAGGCGAGAGGTGGCGACATGATGATCATGATGAGGAGGAAGAGTGACATTGAGAAGGGAGGCAACGGATTAGGAAGGAAGCAGGAGGGATAGGATGGAGGGGAAGGGGTGAAATAGTTGCAAATTGCCAAGGAAGAGGGGGATGCTGAGAAGGAAGGTAGAGAGGCATACCATGGGGTAGGGGAAGCAGGAGGAAGAGGATAATAAGGACGATAATGAAGAAGAGAAAGACGAGGCGAAAGAAGATGATCCTCGTCGTTCCGCTCGTGGTTCTGCTTCTCTGCCGCTTCATCCTCATATTTCTCCTCATCGTGTTGCTGCTCCTTCTTGTTCTCCTCGTCCATTCCTACCCCTCCTGCCAAATTGCGTGCCTCCCCCTTCTCCTTTCCTCCCCCCACTACCCCTCCGTGTCCCACTCCGCCTCCTCCATTCCCCCCTCGCCTACCCCACACGCGACACCCACACCTGCCCTCCCCTATCCCCTACCCTCTGAGCATTTCCTCCCTCCCTTCGAGTCTTGGCTCCCTCCGCTCACTTCCCGTCCCTTCCTCTTCTCTCTTTACCGCCCTTCCTTTCCCACCGAGACCCCCTTTTTTGGCTCGGGGGGTTGGAGGAGAGAGGAGGAGACGGGGAGGAGAATAAGCGGGAGGAAGCGCAGAACGAGGAGAGGGGGGGGGAGGAGGAGAACAAGCAGGAGGAGGCGCAGAGCGAGGAGGGAGGAGGGAGGGTGGAGAAGGAGGGAGGATGACGGAGGTTGGAGAAGAGGGGGAGGCGGAGGGAGGAAGCGGGAAAGGCGAAATTGTCATTATTTCGTTCCTTGTGGCTTGGACCGCGGTGCCTGCAAGTCGAGACTGATAACATCCATTGTTTCGGGGGTATCCGAACATCCCCTTTCAGGGGAGGGGTACCGCATACGTTCGGGGGACGACGGCATGCAGGAGGAGGAGGAGGCGAACGAATAGGGGGAAGTATGATGAGGAGAAGGATAATGATGATACTGATGATGACGTTGGTGATGCTGATGATGGTGGCGATGATTATGTTGATGATGACGACGATGATGGTGATGATGATGTTGATGATGATGGTGATGATGGTGACGGTGGTGATGATGTTGATGATGCTGATGTTGATGATGCTGATGCTGGTGATGTTGATGTTGATGCTGACGGCGATGATGCGTGTGATGCTGATGTTGATGATGATGGCGACGACTGTGATGATGATGATGATGACGATGCTGATGATGTTGATGACGATGGTGATGTTGATGATGCTGATGCTGCTGATGATGGTGGTGGTGATGATTATGTTGATGATGACGACGATCATGATCGTGCTGGTGATGATGTTGATGATGATTGTGATGATGCCGACGATGATGATGTTGTTGACGATGATGATGAGGATGCTGGTGATGGTGAAGATGATGCTGCCGACGATGGTAAAGTTGATGCTTGTGATGATGGTGATGGTGATGACCACACTGTTGTTGAGACTGCTGTTGATGATGCTGGTTCGGATGATGATGACGATGATGATGATGAGGATGATGATGACGATGATGGTGACGATGATGACGACGATGGCATCGACGATGATGATGATTGTGATGATGCTGATGGTGATGCTGATATCGACGATGACGGTGCTGACGCAGATAATGATGACAATGATGACGACGATTATGTTGAGGATGGTGAGGAGGGTGATGATACGGATGATGATGATGATGATGATGATGATGATGATGATGATGATGATGATGATGTTGGTAGACATGATAGTAAAGCTGTGGATGTTGATGACGATGACGGCGACAATGATGACGATGAGGGTGAGGATGGTGATGATGGTTACTATGATGATGATCATGATGATGGTGAAGATGCTGGCAACGATGGTGTTGGTGACTGTGGTGATGATTGTGATGATGATGACGGTGAAGATGATGATGACGAGGATGATGACGACGACGATGACGATGATGCTGACGCAGGTGATGTTGATTATGATGACGATGGTGATGGTGATGCTGATGATGCTGGTGACGATGACGTTGACTTATTATGATGCTGATAATGGTGACGAGGATGATGATGATAGTGATGATGGCGGTGATCGTGCTGGTTGTGATGATGGTGGTGCTTGTAATGAGGATGATGGTGATGGTGATCGTGATGGTGATGGTGATGCTGACGAAGAGGGCGATGACGATGATGGTGCTGACGATGCTGGTGATGATGATGGCGACGATGGCGGGGATGATGATGGTGATGACGACAGTGGTAATTATGGTGATGGTGGCGATGACGATGCTGATGATGATGATGATGATGATGGTGATCCTGATGATGCTGATGGTGATGGTGATGATGGCGATGAAGATGATGATGATGACGAGGATTGTTATGCTTTTGATGGTGGTGGTGACGGTGATAACGATGATTGGGATGATGATGATGATGGTGATACTGATGGGGATGTGGATAATTATAATGATTGTGGCGCTGATGTTGATGGTGATGATGATGATGGCGATGATGATGGTGATGATGGTGATGATGATGATGATGATGATGATGATCGTGGTCAGGATGATGCTGGCGGTTCTGATGATGACATCAGCGATGATGATGACTGTGATTATGATGGTTATGGTGGTTCAGATTGTAGGATGGTGATGATGCTAGTTCTGATTGTGGTTTTGATATTATGATGGTGGTCATGAGATTATGATTCATTGGCTTACGCCGCACCGCCGACCCCTTGGGGCGGCAGCAAGAGTGAAAGACAGAATTCGCAGAGCGCGCGCGATCGCTGTGCAATGTTGGGCCTTCGGCCTGTGCTACGTAGCGTGTGGGGTTCAAGAGGGGGGGCTTGTAGGGGATTGTTTTGAAGTTTTTCGTGGTCTTATGTGAGTTTCTTGGGGCCTTTACGGGGCCTGTCCCAAGCCTCCTTTTCCACCTCCTGGATAAGCTCAGGGATCGTTGAGACCCAGCTGGGGTTGCGTCCGGCCAGAAGTTCGAGAGTGGACCCAGTTGTGTCGACGAGGAGCTTCCTGAAGGCCCAGAGGGGGCGGAGAGCGCCCAAGAACTAGGAGTCTCATGCCTCGAGCCTCGATCCACCCCGTTTTCCTTCCTTTGCGAGGGGGTGGCACCTGCCAGGGAGGTCGATCCTCACCCCGGACTTTCGGCGGTGGTCCCCGGCACCGAAAACGGTTCTTGGAGGCCGAGTTCGAGGAGATGCTTCGGGTATGGTCACCGAGGGCCCCAGTGCCACCGTCCACACGCGCCCCCCCCACTCAGTACAGCGCTTCGTGGCCCCATAGGGAGCTCCAGCGAAGGCCCCAATGCCACCGTCCACATGCGCCCCCCCCACTCAGTAAAGCGCTTCGTGGCCCCATAGGGAGCTCCACCGAAGGCCCCAGTGCCACCGTCCACATGCGTCCCCCCCAGTCAGTACAGCGCTTCGTGGCCCCATAGGGAGCTCCACCGAAGGCCCCAGTGCCACCGTCCACATGCGTCCCCCCCACTCAGTACAGCGCTTCGTGGCCCCATAGGGAGCTCCACCGAAGGCCCCAGTGCCACCGTCCACATGCGTCCCCCCCAGTCAGTACAGCGCTTCGTGGCCCCATAGGGAGCTCCACCGAAGGCCCCAGTGCCACCGTCCACATGCGTCCCCCCCACTCAGTACAGCGCTTCGTGGCCCCATAGGGAGCTCCATGGTTGAAAGGCCACGACAATGTGTGAGACATCGGCGGCGACGACGAATTCTTCTTTCTTTTTTGTTTCTCTTCCTCCTCCTCTTCCTCCTCG